GCTTGATATATAAACAAAATTACTCTATATTTCAGAAGAATGAAATAATACTGTTTTTCAGACATGAGACGCACTATCATTAATATGGATGCACAAAACATCAATTATACATTTTATAGATTAATTCCCACTTGTCTTTGAAGAAACAAGATAATAGCAAGGTACAGAATAGAAAGATTCATACTAACAACATGCATCTTCTAAGGGTTGTGGCTCATGCAGGACCAAAGACTAGAAGTGAAGAAATGGTTGTTCTTATGTTATATAAAACAAATGCACCCTCCAGAGTGTGTACCCCGATAATTAATTTTAAGCACCTCAAAAATGTTAAAGCTTAGAGTCTTTTCAGTGTACATTTCAGACACAAACTATTCTCATAGCTTGGCTTTACTTAGATTTTTGTTGTTTTAAAATGCAAAACAGGGAAACCCTCAAGGAAGTAAAAGTAAAAAAGACCCCAAATGAGTGAGAGTTACACTGAAGCCTAAGTTTCAAAAGTGACTAATGAGTTTGGGTGATTAACTTCAAATGGCAAGAGAGGCTTAATTTTCTGGAAACGCAGGAACCAAATTCTATTTCAGTTAGAAATCTGGACACCTTTCAGAGGTCTCATTAAGTTGAGCATCCAAAAACTGAAGCATAAGAAATTACTGGTCACTTCAGCAAATTTGGTGGGTATCCATTACATGGTTGCAGAAGTGTACAAACAATACAATTTAATATACTGTACTGCCACCTCTCTCAGATTTGACTGCTTTGTCTTTTAGATAGAAAAGCGATCTTTCCATGTACAATTTCCAGAGAAAGAGAGACACGTTTTAAAGTAGGTGTCTACATAAGTGATGCTTAAAATCTTTGTTTTGAGTAAAACTTTATGAAGTAATTGAGCTTCAAAGAAAGAGAGAAGCAGGCAACAGGCAATAGCAGCTCAGTAGGAGTGGAAGAATTGGGGATTTAGACCCCTTTTTTCTGAGACAGGATAAGAACCAAGCAGAGAATGAGCCAGTCATTTTACTGCTTTTATTCTTTTCCCTTTGTTCCCAAACAGAAAAGGCAGAGTGGTTCAACGGCTTTTTTCATGTTGCATACATACCCAAGTGGGTAGATATGGGGAAGGAGTTTGGGAAGGTTCACTTTTACTAAGGAAAGCTAAAGGACTCTTTAGCTGGTTTCCTGGTGAAGTTGTTTGATGCTTCTCTAGAAAGTGCCAGATATTCTTTACCCCAGTGGGATTGTGCAAATCAAGCAGACTCTGCAGCTCTCTGCTGTTTTATAGGATTACTATCTCTGGCTTCATTTCAATAAAATGGTGCTTTAGATAGACTGAGCTCACTTCTCCAAAGGCATCAGTTATGGAGCAGTAGAAAGGCTGTTCCACATCATGAGTACAAATAAAAGGGTGTCAAGTGGCTACTGTGCACAATAAATTACCTCATAGTCTTTATTAGCATCTGTTATTTCCCAGTAGTCATTTGGAATTCCCATACGCTGATAATCTACTTTTAAATCAATCAGCTTCCATCCAATCTCCCGATTATCTTTAGACATTTTGGGGTTATAAGAAAATGCATAAAGTTCTTCAGATGTCACTGGGGAGAGGAAATTTAAAAATTAAGTTGAGAGAAAAAAATTAAAATACATGCAAAAGAAAGTGAAATGTTCAACACTCTCTCCTAAAGATTGTCCCTGGAATCAGGCACAAAGGGTAAATCACCACTCTGCAGTCAGATTACAACTAAATGGAAGTTAATAGCATCTTCTCTGGTTTTGGCATATCGTTATACCAAACATTTAAAGCAATCAGTAAATGACACCAGAGCAGCCCTGCCAGTGGTGGGGTGGGGGAGACCTTCCAGCCCAGTAGCAGGCAGGAGACCACTCACTTGTCTTTAACTGGTTAATCAGCTAAACAATATGTTTAACCGATTAGCCAATTAAATGGGATTTTACATCCCTAGTGGCATGTAGATGAAAAACCCTGTAAACTGCTTTATGACTTAAAAGGTCATCAGATTCTTCATCTCTGTTATTAACACCTTAGGTTAAAATGGACAATCTGAAGTATCTATTTTAATTTTCACCATGTCTGTTCACCTGTGGAACTTCATTCAGTTTGAAAGAGGTATCTAGCCTGCTTCTTGGGCATTAGAAAAATGCTGCTGTTCAAGGCATCCTGAGAGCACAGGTTTAATTAAAAAAAAAAAGTAAAGAACATTTCTAATCACATTAAATGGCATATAGATATATAACAAAGTGCATAATGACAAAAATGAGTTCAATTCCTTTCAGGGTCAAGGACTGTACTTATCCAAAGCAATATGTCTGGGCCAAAATTGCATGTATAATGTTCAAATCAATTTTAGACTTAAAGCAATTTATTTCCTACTTACATTCTTTTAAGAATACATTGCTCTTTTCCAGCAATGCATGAAGGGTTAATCCATAAAAAGAAGAGAACAACAGAAACTGCAAGTTTCTGCGAACAGTTCATGCAATACCATTCTTATCAACCTGCAGCTTCCCATTTCAATAATGTGCTCTCCTTCATACAGGAAAACTTGATAGATCTCGAGTATTACTGTTAGCCCAATAAGAGCTTCAGGCTGACAAATGGTAATTCCTCTATTCCCTCTACACCACATCTTCAGTTTCTTTCCTTCTCTTAAAAAAATGCAAATCCTGTCAGTAATTCACTCTGTTCATACTCAAGGCAGCAAGCTCTCCTGAGACAGACTGCGTCCTGCCAGAGTCTGATAAAGTACCCATCTTGCCAAACAGGTAACCCTCAATTGTCAAATAACAGCAAATAATGAATAATTATTTCCTCTGCCCAAACAGATGAAGCAGGAATACAAGCAATCTTAAACTGACACAAGAGTAAACTGAGAACACATAAATAGGACAGTATAGTTACAGTATGTTACATATATAGCCACAGAGCAATAGAAACCAACTAATTTTTCATCTGCAGCAAGTCATAGATACTACATTTGTAACACTTTATAGCTATAGGAACAGTAATAGCCATTAACAGAGTCCCAGAAACTGCTGTATGATCATATGCCATATACTGTATTAGAATTAAAACTTTGCATATAATGAGACCGAATCACTTAGGAGATAAATGAGGGTGTGAATCATACTATATTCCTCTAAGTCATCAGTTCAAATTAACCAGAGGGTCAAGCACTTTGCTGGAAAGTGCAGGGAAAGTCTGTACTGGACCTAAAAGGACTTCATTTCATCAGTTTGGCATCTTTCACCAGTACTAAAAAAGAGTATCAAAAGAGAGTTCTTCTGGGATAGCAGACTAGAAACATTTCAGAGGGTATCAATAATTAAGGACATAAGAAGACCATACCAGGTCAGACCAAAGATCCATCTAGCCCAAGTATCCTGTATTGCAACACTGACACAGGTAACCCAGAGGGAATGAACAGAACAGGTAAGTCATCATCAATTGATCCATCCCTTGTTGCCCATTCCCAGCTTCTGGCAATTCTGCTGTAACATTCTTCCAACCACTTCATTTACACAATAGTAAAAACTGCATTTACTTGCAAGATGCCAGCTCTCTTCTGAGGGCCAGAATTTTGTGTTACAACAGCATACTAAGCAAACAGCAGCTGTCAGGGGTGGAAATAGCTTAAGATTTCAAATCTTTCCTTCCTGTGCTGATTGAGGAAAGCCAACAGCCTGAAAACCAGGGTTTTCCCCACTGCCCAAATATACTTGTCAATTACTGTAATTTAGCAGTTTTTTCTATTTGAGTAAAAAAAATCTTGTTTACCCCACGCACGAATATAACCTGCGGAGTATACAAGACTTTTCTGTGCCAGGGGTATATTTGCTGGGGATATATTTATGGTGCGGGGGGGTGGAGGGAGGGATTAGCCACTCACTGCCCCAGGTTCCAGCACAGCCGCCAGCCTGGGAAGCGCTCATTCCACAGGTTCCTCCGCAGCCGCAGGAAGGGGCAGGGGAGAAGGCACAGGAGAGAGGGGCGGGGACACAGGTGGCTCTCCATGGCACTGGCTCCCATTCCCCCCACTTTACTGCTGATAGAGAGGCGTGGCGCGGAGGGTGAGGGGGGCAGACCCGCGCGGGGGGGGGGGCCGCGCCCCAGCCACAGGAAGAGGCGACGGAGAGCTCACCACCTGGTGAGTAAAAAAATTTCTGTATACCCCGCACCTGAGTATACCCTGTGGGGGAATGGTGAGTAAAAAAATTTCTGTATACCCTGTGGGGGAATGCAGGGTTTGTAAAAATGAATATAATCCACGGGTTATATTCGGTAAATTATGGTAGTTTCCTTTAGGTTTCCAGACAGACTCACTCCAGAATACCTGGCTGTGAAAGTTTAAGCAAGGACGTGTACACTTCATGGCAATCCCGTTCATGTCCAATGACAAAATGTGCAACACGGAAGTTCTTGCAGTGAATAAGCAATGGGCATCCAGATGTGGTCAGAGGTAACTTCTCCACAGTAGCTATATGGTGATGTAGAATCTGAAAAACAGGAAGGGAAACTAAATCATTCTGCACTAGATGACCAATGTGAATTATAACCAGATATGAATGATTCTGCAATATTTGAGAGAAGTTTCTCGTTATCGTCATCGTTCTAATCCTTACAGCACCTATTCCAGCAAGCTCTCTCTTTGCTAATTAGTGACAAATTAACAAACATGAAAAATTCAAATAGTCCCTCAAATTGGATTATTTAACCAAGGAGTAGGCAATAAATGTATTTTTTTGCATGATCAAAATGCACAAAAGAAAATGAGAGCTCTTCAATTTTAACAACTACTGATCTATTTTTGGTGTTGGAAACTAGGGATGTTAACATACGCTTAATTAAATAACTAACGGCTGAAAATGTCAGGGGTTACATGGTTACACGTAGGGCAGCAGCGGCTCCAGTCTGCCTGCTGGCGCTGCTGCCTCTGTATCAGAGGCAGCAGCACCAAGGGAGAGAAGGAGGCTCCCCAAGAGCCAGTGCACGCCAGGAGCCAGCTTTTAAGCCAGTTCCCTACATGTACCAGGAACCTGTATGTATCTGTGAAGGTTAACCCATGAGCTCAGGCTCATGGGTTAACCTTGTACACAGTTACACTTTCACATCCCTATGGAAACTACCTGTATTTGAGATGAAAATTAAGGACAAACTCCAGACTGCTTAATGCCATCATTAAGTAGGATGGAAGTGATACAATATCTTGTGTAAGCGATGAGGAGTCCTGTGGCACCTTATAGACTAACTGAAGTGTAGGAGCATAAGCTTTCGTGGGCAAAGACCCACTTCGTCAGATGCATGTAGTGGAAATTTCCAGAGGCAGGGATAAAATATGCAGGCCAGGATCAGGCTGGAGATGACGAGGTGGATCCAATCAAGGAGGATAAGGCCCACTTCTAGCAGCTGATCTGGAGGTGTGAATTCCAAGAGAGGAGAAGCTGCTTTTGTAGTTAGCAAGCCATTCACAGTCTTTGTTTAATCCAGAGTTGATTGTGTCAAACTTTAAGAAGAACTGTAGCTCAGCAGTTTCTCTTGGAAGTCTGGTCCTGATGGCTACTTTTAGATCTGCAATTGAGTGTCCACAATGCAGATCTAAAAGTAGCCATCCTTCAGATACAATGGCCTAGCATATTGAATATGGGGGTGGCAGGCAAGCAAGCTGGGTTCTGTTCCTGAATCTAACACTATTTAAAGGATAAGAACTCTATTTTTGTAAGCTGCTTTTCTGTAAAGTGCTATAAAAATGTATTACCTTTGAATTAATGGAACCACAACTACCAGAATCAGGAATTTATATTTTTTACAAGTTCCATACTTTACAACTTACCCATGTTTCTTTTCGGATTTCAGCCGAAGAATCTACATAGATCAGATGGGTCGCTGTCAGGTATAAGGTTCCATTTGCTGGCTTCTTGTTGGTATAACGATCTAATAATTTGACATTTTCTACCTGAAATATGCAAAAAGGAAGAAAAGTCAACTTACAGCTTCAACAAAGTCTGTAATTTACATCTGAACAGGAGCACATATACATGTTCAATGCACAACTCTGAAAGGATGCTTTAAAAAAGAATGAAGAGTTAAGGTTTCTCCTGCAACACTAACTCAGCCACACTGCACATCTTGTATGTTTATTCTACTGATTAATAATGTATAGCCTAGAAAGAGATTCATCGCAAATTATTAGTTTTTGATAGGCAAGTAACATTTTAGTTCTCTGTTTACCAAACATTAATTATTGGTGAAAGGCAGGCAAGGGAATTTTGCGCCTGAGCTGGTCATGAAAGTTTGCCATTTTGCAAGGTTGCAGAGATATTTTAAGGTTTAAGAAAACACAGGAAGGAAAAAATGCTGTATGTGTAACATGGCCAAGTTAACACTGTGGTAGAAACTGCCCTCAGGAATTTCCTATACTTCTGGATGCTTAATTTCTCAATTCTAACATTTCATTATTGTTGGTTTTGTACTTCATTTCACTGATGTAATTTCTTAAAGAGAAGGATAAAGTACTAGTAACTGTCTATATAAAATAATAGTGTTCTTTAACTGTGCATACCCATTTTTGTAAGTCATACTAAAATAATCAGTAGAGCCCATAGAAAATTACAATGCTGTGAAAAAACATGAACTTATGTTCAAAGTTTAAAAATATTGAACTGATTTTCTTCAGACTCACTGTCCTCATTGAAGAAGGACATAAATAGTTAAAATTATTTTGTTTTAGCAGATGAGCATAAATAGTGCAAAAAATCAGTTGAAATGCATACAGGAAGTATTTCTCTCTCTCATACATGCACATCCTTCATTCCACTAAAAACCAAAAGTAAAATGTCACCATTGGACTGAGATAAAGTATGGAATATTTCAGGCCAAAAAGAAATGTAAGAAAATTCTAAGGAACTGGAAGTGGAGGTTTAGAACACAAGCGTCATTTCAACATTATATATGTTTAAATTAAGGATATACAGGCAGTCCCCGGGTTACGTACAAGATAGGGACTGTAGGTTTGTTCTTAAGTTGAATCTGTATGTAAGTCGGAACTGGCGTCCAGATTCAGCCGCTGCTGAAACTGACCGCCAGTGTAAGAAAATTCTAAGGAACTGGAAGTGGAGGTTTAGAACACAAGCGTCATTTCAACATTATATATGTTTAAATTAAGGATATACAGGCAGTCCCCGGGTTACGTACAAGATAGGGACTGTAGGTTTGTTCTTAAGTTGAATCTGTATGTAAGTCGGAACTGGCGTCCAGATTCAGCCGCTGCTGAAACTGACCGCCAG